TTTCCAAGCCACTGCTAAATATTTCAAACCCGATTTGATTGTGGTTCGTGACAGCTAATGTTTCTCGGCTCTTGAGTCTACTGGAACGGGCGGGAGTGGGGAGGCAAACATGCTCTACTTCCCTCCTTTCTCGTTGTCCTTTTCCACCCCAGACCCTGCAAGCCCTTGAAGTGTTTGGACGAGGGGGCTGTCATTTTGTTAAGGGAATGGAGAGGGGGGAAAGGCTCTGTTCGCCTGGCTGTTTTCCAGATGGAAGTGGGTGGATTGTCCATGCAGGGCTTTAAGGCTGTCCGTCAGGATGTGTGAAGGAGCAGGAGTCGTGGGGCCTTTTGTCCTTTGATTGGAGGTGGGGGCTGAGGCCCATTTTCTTGACTAAGCTTAGATTGGAAATTCTGTGCACTTCACCAAGGGCCGGGAGGAGATGCCTCCTCTTGAGAAATAGGGTTTGTCTACAACGTTTGTTTCACCAGAGGCAAAAAAACCCCTCTGACTTGAGCCTTCCTTTGTGGAGAACTTTGAGCAGGACAAGCATGAAATTATTTGGATTTCCAAGTCCCACAGCTAAGGAATGGTTCAGGGGGGTCAGCAAGTGCATCAGTTGTCTGGGGAGGTGCCTGGCTGGTCTCTGCCAGACAACTCCCTGCAATCTGTTCTTTTTGGTTCACACTGATCAGACCTTGCTTGGGACATAGGAACATATCCTGTCTCAGGAAGTCATGGCCTGTCTGCCAAGTTTGTAGGAGCAGAAGAGACAGGCCCTGTGGCATCCATGTGGGACCCATTACACTTTGCAAGAGCTTTGCTCACCCTTTGCTTTCCCCTCAGAGGTCTGTGGGGTTTTTGTCCTTCCTGGCCAAAGTAAAAGTGTTCCATCAGTAACTTGGGGCTGGGATAAGGCATTACAGTAAGGGCCTAAGGATAACTTGTGAGACTTAGGCTCATCTTGCTAGCTAGCAGAATTAGTCCCTCTCCAGGTGATGCTCCCCCTTCCCTTTCAATGCTGGTGGCCTCCTTGAAATGCTTATTTGGAAAAAGACACCTGGGTGAGGTGCCTACAAGGGGAGGGGGTAAAGACTCTGGGTTCTGCTGCTGAAGCATGAGCTGAGCCCAAGGATTGAAGGTGGGAGCTTTACCACATGGGCTATTCTTTCTTTAGTTGGGAGAGTTCCCAGTGTGGGCTGGGGGAAGGACCTCAGCTCTAGGAGAATGCTATATGTCTGTGTTTGTGTGCTCACTTTATGTTGGAAAGGTTGGGACTAGACTAGGGACACTCTGTCTTCCATTCTGTGTCCCGAGCCACAGTGGTCATCCATCACCACCCTGTAGTTGCCTATGCCTAATGCTCTCTTTGTAGCTGCTTTTAAAAAAAGAATTTCCCCTAAAGAAATTGCAGTGGAGCCCTGGCAGGAGGCAGAGGGGCATCTCTCCCGCTACACATGAAAGGCACTGCTGCCACTGTTTAATGTTTTTGGGGAATCCTAGAAAGAAGGGCTATTGAGTGCCTGAGGTCAATGCTGAGCTGCTTCGCTACCCTTCCCTTCCCACCCCAAATAATGGGCTTCTTCTGCTGTTATAACCAGTGTTGTCCTCCTCCTAACGCTCCCCTGCCCCCCATTTGCAGGTTGGTTCTTGAGAGACAGTATCTCCTTTGCAGGGCTAGCCAATAAAACAAGGCAGCAGAGCGGAGGAGAGAAATTTGCAGTGTGTATCCTTGTTTTTTAATCATTTTTCTACCTTTATTGGTATTCATAGCTCACATTTTCCTGGTTACTGTCAGCCTGGGCTTTCATCCATTTTAAAGAGCTATTTTCCCCCTTGTTGTTGATGATGATGGTATAAAGACAGATGGTGTAACTGCTTATGAATGTCCTATTTTATTTCCTCTGAACCAGACAGTTTGCTGGAAGACGTATATTATTTCCACATGCTTCGAAGGGGAGCCCAGACAGTCCAGTCGCAACTTAGCAGCCAGGCGGATGGCCAGCAATCCTTTGCTTGCTTTGGAGAGGGTGACACCTCTAGGTGGCTGCTGGGACTGCAGGGGACCTTCAGCATGGCTAGGCTAGAAGGGGCTTGGTGGGCATTATTCTTCCTTTGAGGAGCTTTTTCCAACATTTGACTGGAGGAGAAAGACTGCTCAGGAGGCCCACATTTTCTTCTTGCTTAAAGGTAAAGCTTAGATGGAGCCAGTAGTCCCTAGATTAAACAGCCACCAGTCTTAACAGTAATTAATAATAAGAATAAGAATAAGAATAATACCCCACCCATCTAGTAAAAGCATCTGCAGCTGGAAATTGTTCCTCCAGGCTTCACCACCAGTTCAGCCTCTATAAGCTTGTTTAAATAAGAGCAAGTAAGGGCATGAATGTTCTTCCTCCAGCAGTGCAGTGTGGTACAGTGGTTAGTGTGTTGGATGCTCCCTAGAGCACTATGGGTTCAAATAACCATTTGGTCACAAAGATCACTGGGTGTCCCTCAACCTAGTCTACCTCATAAGTGGGCAGATCTCCTTAGAGGAAGGTTTATTCAAAGCCATGGAGCTGCTCCAGGCTTGGCCCATATGCCAATGAAGTACTTTGAACACTCAAGCATTTTATAGACGTACTAAGCATTACTATATCTCCTCCTCTCCTTTCCATAGAAGATGCACAATCAGTGTGTTTTGCATCCCAACTAGCTTTATGCTTTCTCTGCTGATAAAGCGAGGAAGGAGATTCTTCTCCTGCCAGGAGGCCAATCTTAAATTCTCATCACTAGTTGCTTCACTGCCTATTGGATCCTTGAGGCACACACAAATTTTGCTGAGTGCTCACGTGAGGGTCACAGAGTGCAGACAGTGAATGGCACGAGAACGGACAGTACTTCTGCAGCTTCCTTTTTTTAGGAACTTTGCAACTTATACTTCAGTGGGTGTTTTGATAGAACTCCCCCACCCCACAAAAGTATGTGATATCAATACAAAGCAGTTTGGCCCCTGGTGTTGTGCTGTGTGTGTGGTACAATGTTTTTGATGGCTACCTAGTGCTAAAGAACAGGTGTGACTATCTTTCCTGGGTGTTCTGTTTACTTTACTGCTTCAGGCACAGATGGGATGTCTTACTCTCACTATTCAGTCCAAACAGACTGTCCAAACCTAGGACCCAGAGGACAGGGCTTTGGGGATACTGTGTGATTTCAAGGCAAGTTTGAGACCTGACACCCCCATGGGTGCAGACTGACCGCAATGTGGGGCCATTTCAAAAGCACTGCTGATGGCCAGACCCCAAGGTACACATCACACCCATTTTATCTGCTTGACTAGGTTGGTTGGACTGAAGAGCCAAGTGGAATTATCAGATGTATACTAACTGATGATGACTACCTGTTTGCTTCCAAATGCTTGTGAGCTGATTGACTGATGCTTTATTCAGGTTGCTTTCTAACACGGTGAAAGTTAGCTTTGTCACCTTCCCCTCCACAGCCTTGGTCAGTAACTAGCATGGGTTGTCAGTTTTCAGAGCTTTCTACCTGAATTCTAATCTCTGGTCCGATTCTGTCCTCCCTTCAGCTGCATACCAGCCCTGTCAGCAGTGCTTTTACCTGGCTGGAATATGTCCTTGAACTCAGACAGAGCCCCTATCTTAGCTGCATAGAGGATAGAGGGTTGTGTGAGTCTGCGTAGAAATTAGCCTACTGTACAAAGGTGAAAATGGCGTTCTCCTCTCCATCCACTTCTGCTTCTAGCACTGCCCACCACTGGCATGTGGCCCCTGGAAAGTTCCCCAGAACCATACACATCCCCCAGGCTAAAAAAAAATGTTATCCATCACTATTTTAAAGCTACAAATGGCTTGGGGCCAGGTTACTTCAAGGATTGCCACCTCCTGTATATACCTGCATGGACCCTGAGATTCCAGGTTTCCCTGCCTAATGAAGTGATGTGTGTAGTTGCTAGGGACTGGTCCTTGTTGGTGCAGCTCCAGTTATGGAATGGGCTGCCTAAAGAGGCTCTTTTGGCACCCCTGCTAGGTGCCTGGTGAAAAGACCTTTTTCTCTCAGGACACTTAACCACAATATGTACATTCTCTTGACAGTTTTAAATTGGTTTAGCTGCTATGTATGTTTGTTCATTTGTATTTATAGTCATAGTTTATTGGTTTGTTTGGGGTTTTTTGTTTTTGTTTATTGTTGACTTACTTTATTTTGGGTTTACTGTTTTATTGTGAAAAATTGTGGATTGTATTCTGTTTTTCAACGTTTGCAAAACATCCAGAGCATTTGGTTGTGTAGGTGGCATGCAAATGAAATACGGTAAATAAATTTGGAGGCCAAACTAAAGCTCTTCCCAGGAGATTTAGGGGATTATCCAGGGAAATAGATGTAAATTGAATCCACAGACTCCTAGCCTGAGCTTTGTATCCAGTGAGCTTGTAAGCAGTGTTAGAAATTAGCCAGGTGCCAGGTCTGTTTTGTGTTTGGTGTGGGTTCAATTGTGAGCACATGGAGATCTCTGGATTCCAGGTTGGTGACTTGACATCTACATCTAGCTGGCCTCTCCAGCTTTCTTAAGCAGGTAGGCAACATAGTGTAATAATAAATCCCATTGGGGGGAAATGGTGCCTAGACATATAGTTGTGGTGACCGTAACCTAGGTTTAAGGTGCCATTTGGCAATTAGGTTATATATCTGAGTTTCTAAAACTGCTTGTAAGAAGCAGTGGCCACAATTTCTATTGCTCCTATAGCACCTACTGCATGCCTTCCTGCCATGCAATTGCCAAGGCTTCTCCACCAGGACCCCCTTTAGGTCCCTTTTCAGCCGCTCAGTTTCTGCTGTGACTTGGAGATAAAGGGAGCATGTATTGAGGCTGCACCTGAGGATTCCCAAATGAGATGGGAAACAACCCAGAGTCCATTGTAGGAGCAAATATGGGAAGGTAGAAGAAGTGACTTAAGGCAACATTGCTGCAGGTGTCAAGTGCAGTTTTTACCTCTTTCTTTCCTTCTTTTCTCCCATTTCAGAGGAGTTGATTGAAGATGCAGAAGGGCCTCCTAGTGAGGCAGCTGCTGAACCAGAAGAGCCTGTTAAAGATGCAGAGACTGCTGTTGAAAAGGATGAGGGCAAATGGGCGGCAGGTGAGTGATAGTCAATGGAAGCCGAGCTCTGGTTCTCTCTCACACACTTTGCTCGAGTGAAAGTTTTCCTACAGTGGGTTTGGAGGCTGTTCTCAAATTTGTCTTAATCATTCTCTCAGTCAGAATATCCCCAGTCAGTCTGCACTTTGTATCCCCTTGTTGATCCCGTTTTGTAAGAGCAGCAGTACATATTTATATTAGGAAAGAGGTGTTATATAGAGTGAACTTGCTCTGTTTCTTTAAAAAAAAAAAAAGACAAGTGAACTTTGAAGATGAAAGGATTTTTGTGAAATAATGCAAAATCTAGAGCAAATTCTAAAATTGCCTAAGCCTGAATGTGAATCACTCTGAACAGTTGAGGTGGATGTTTACCTCCTACGAACCAGAAGACTATGGCAAGAGAAATCCTTGGGCCAGTTCTGTATGGAGCTGATTCAGAGACAGAAGAGACAAAGAGAGGTCTGACCCTTTATCCAGCCAATCCTACGAATAATTTTTCTTGTGCTGGCCTGGTGCATCAGTCCATACTCTACAGTTTGGGTCTGTATTTGTCTAGCAGCAGAAGACCATCTCAAGTCATAATAGCTGTCAAAATTTTCTCAGTCCTTGAAATAAGATTTACTTGATAAGCAGGGGTTGTATCAGAAAGAAAAAAGATTTCTTAGACTTTGTTTTCAAACAAGGAGACAGTGAGCCTTTCAAAGGTGAAAGTGTTGTTCCTTCTAGTCTGGACAAATTAGTCCCAGAGCAGATACCGCTGCTTTCCTAAGGGGTGTGGTATGGGGTTTTATGTAGGAAGTTAAAAGATTTGTGAATAGTTTACAACTGTGATGCACAAAGTCACTAAATGATTAAAAAGACAAAAGAAAAACTTGGTCCAGAAACATTTCATGTATTTGGCAGCACTGGAACTCACCCTCAGCCTTCACAACAGGAAGGGATAATGAATTAAGTAAGCAGTAGTTGTGGCAGACCAGCTCAGAGAGCTTTTAAGTGCTCCCCATTTTTAGAGATCGGCAGGGCTCACCTAACGCAGCAATCAGTGCAACAGAGCATCCGTAATTCGCACCCATGGCAGATTGCTATTAGGGGAGGTATTAATGGGCTGCCAAGGGCTGGGAAATTGTTGCAGAAAAGTGTGTTTATGGAGTAAGAGCTGGCAGGCATGATTGCAATTGGGTTTGACATGTTTAACATAAATGGCTACTGCACAGCTCTTGCTGTTTATGAATAATTCCTATAGGCCCACTGCCTTTCTAATTGCAAAAGTAGGGAAAGGGGGGCAATTCCCTCCCCCCCAAAAAACCAGGCCAAGGCCATCCTGACTGAACTTTCCCCTGATTTTCACAGGAAGTCATGTTTAACCAAGTCTCATCAGATGCCCTGGATACTGTGATGGGGAGGTCTGGGGTGAGCTGTGCCTGGAATCTGTACCTACTGTACCTTCTCAGTGCCTGAGCATGAGGAACAAACTGAATTTATTAGTGTTGCCTGGGAAGGGCATGGGGAGCATTGTCTGTTAAACCCCATAGGTTTGGGTTGCTGATGATTTCTTCCTGCCCACTGTGTATCCTCTGTGAAAGACATGAGGTACAGCTCTCTTTATCCCCCAATCCATTGAATCAGAAGTGGAACAGAGCCAATATGGCTCCAGTCCACCTCCCAGTCATGCAGCATTCTGGCACCTCTTTAGATATTCAGAAAAGGTGCGTAACATCTTCCTGCTTTTAAAATTCTCTACTTTGGCTATTTTCTTCTTCTTTCTGGCTCCTGATTCATAGCTCTCTTCCTTTCAGAAGACACTGTAGCCTAGTTGTAGATTACTCCCTCGCCAGCCTTTTGTGGGCCTTGTGTAGAACTCTTAGTTGAATTTACATTTTAGCCTCATTTTCCAGCTTACTAGGATAATTCTGAACATTTAGTCTATTGGTTGCATATTTTGTATTATTGGTAAACTGCCAATGCCATTGTCTAGGTAATTGAAGATGCACTGGACCCACCATGATTCTGCTCCTCTCCAGTCAATATCTCTTTCCCAAAGTGCTGCATACCAGCTCCTACTCCTTGCCAAAAGCATGGTCAGCATTAAAGTGGGGAGGCAGCTTTATTAGCTGGAGGAAGTGTTTATTAATTCTTTTTATCTTCCTGTTTTTAACTAGTCTTCCTCTGCAACTTGCTGCTTACCCTCCCTTAGGGGCTGTTGGGGCCCAGCACAGCCCTCATGCTAAACTAGTGGCTACTCTTCCTGTTTTCAGGAAAGATGATTGTCCCACTTTGTCCACATTTCTTTATGGAAGTTGGTGAGGCACAATAATTCCTTCTTGCTTCCATATCTGAATCGCTCTTTGGCATCTGTTTCCAAGACTTCTTAGTGTGCTTGAATTTCCACCAGCCCTTTTTTGAGGTGCCTTGCTTGGGCTGTTTTCCTCTCCTGCCTTCGTGGGTTCATTGGCTGCTCCTGTCTTAGGGGGCACAATATAGCCTTGGGGTGCTGTGCAAATCACGCCAATGGTCCACTGGCATGAGCATGGCCCACATAACAGCACCAGCAGCTCTTGAGTCTCATTTCTGCTTAACATTCATCACAAGGCCTCCATCAAGGAGTCCAAGTGACCAGACCACATCCTGTGTAGTGCCTTTTCCATGGTTCCAGCTTTACAAGGAAGGGTGTCTTCAAAGCAGGCCCACCCCATGTCATGCCATCAGCCACCTGAGGTGCAGCATTGCCACATGGTGGAGCAGAAGGACCTACCTGGTTGGAGAGCTGGGCTTCAGGGATGCTGGCCGGCTGCTGAGCTGGTATGATCAATGGAGAGAGCAAACGTCAGTGAGTCCTGCTGTAAATTTCTGGGGCAGGTGGCGAGTTGGTTTACGGAATGCAGAGAGATGAGAACCCAGCTTTACGGAAAGCAGCATGAATTAATAATCATTTAATTGGCTCCTCCATTATGCTGCTGGATTAGTAGATGGAAGTTTAGATGAAGGGGCTGTCAATGGTGCTTTAGCTCAGAGAAACTGATGACTGGGGGCAGGGGAGAGGCAACTGTCTTTAGTCAGGTAGAGTCCATCCTCCTCAGTCCTCCTACCCTGGGCTGGGCTCTTTGAGCTTCACCTCTATGCTGCTTTCCACAGCTCATGGATGGAAGGAGACACTTTTTTCAGTGTTGAAAATTTGAAGCAGTAGGAAGACTTTTTTGGTAGTAAACTGTCTCTTGCAGTGAGCTATTTCTTAGGTGAGGGATTCATAGTGCACTTCATAAGGTATAAAACAATTTCCAGGGTCATTTCATTGTATTGGTATGAGTGTAGCCTTCACTTTAAGGCTTTAAGCCTCCCAGAGTGGCTGGGGAAACCACTCTCTCTCTTTTGAGTTAACTGGTAGGACTCTGGTCCCCAAAATTGACTTTCCAGCTGAAACAGCCTTGCTGTGACTAGGCGGCAGGATGGTGAGAGAGCAACACTTATTCCCTTGGAGATGGTGCCAGAGAATCGGAGCTGGCAGATACAGTGGGTTGATAATGCCTTAGATATCCCTGGAATGCCCGCTACTTTGGACATCCCTTCTCCTCATCATCTTCCCTCTTTATCCCCAGTCATTCACTCCTCCTTCCTGTACATTACCTTTGTGCAGAGCAAGCAGGGCAGCTAGCTTCCACTCCGCCTGATAGTCTCTCACATGATAGGGCTTCAGGAAATGGTTTCCCATCAGTTGGCTGCTTATCTTCTCCTTTCGTTACTTTAGCAGCTATTCCATTAATAATAATAATAATAATAATAATAATAATAATAATAATAATAATAATAATAATAAATTTATTTATACCCCGCCCATCTGGCTGGGTTTCCCCAGCCACTCTGGGCGGCTTCCAAAATTTTTTAAAAATACAATGGTATGTTAAACATTAAAAGCTTCCCTAAACAGGGCTGCCTTCAGATGTCTACTAAAAGTCTGGTAGTTGTTGTTCTCTTTGACATCTGGTGGGAGGGCGTTCCACAGGGCGGGTGCCACTACCGAGAAGGCCCTCTGCCTGGTTCCCTGTAACTTGGCTTCTTGCAGTGAGGGAACCGCCAGAAGGCCCTCGGCGCTGGACCTCAGTGGCCGGGCAGAATGATGGGGGTGGAGATGCTCCTTCAGGTATACTGGACCAAGACCATTTAGGAATTGTCCTCGGAAATGTCCTGGGAGCCAATGTAGATCTTTCAAGACCGGTGTTATGTGGTCTTGGTGGCCACTCCCAGTCACCAGTCTAGCTGCTGCATTCTGGATTAGTTGTAGTTTCTGGGTCACCTTCAAAGGTTGCCCCACATAGAGCACATTTCAGTAATCCAAGTGAGAGATAACTAGAACATGCACCACTCTGGCGAGACAGTTCACAGGCAGATAGGGTCTCAGCCTGCGTACCAGATGGAGCTGCTAAACAGCTGCCCTGGACACAGAATTGACCTGTGCCTCCATGGACAGCTGGGAGTCCAGAATGACTCCCAGGCTGCGTACCTGGTCCTTCAGGGGCACAGTTACCCCATTCAGGACCAAGAAGTCCTCCACGCCTACCCTCCTCCTGTCCCCCCAAAACAGTACTTCTGTATTGTCAGGATTCACCCTCAATCTGTTAGCTGCCATCATCCTCCAGCCGCCTTCAGACACTCACACAGGACCTTCACCGCCTTCACTGGTTATGATTTGAAAGAGAGGTAGAGCTGGGTATCATCCGCATACTGATGAACACCCAGCCCAAACCCCCTGATGATCTCTCCCAGTGGCTGCATGTAGATGTTGAAAAAGCATGGGGGAGAAGACAGAACCCTGAGGCACCCCACAAGTGAGAGCCCAGGGGTCGGAACACTCATCCCCCACCACCACTTTCTGAACACGGCCTAGGAGGAAGGAGCGGAACCACTGTATAACAGTGCCCCCAGCTCCCAGCCCCTCTAGACCAGTGTTTCCCAACCTTGTGCCTCCAGCTGTTTTTGAACTACAATTCCCATCATCCCTGACTAGC